ATAACTCTCTCAATCGTTTATATTATTTTAAATTGTTCTATCGAAGGAGATGTACTTTCTTCACGTGTTAAACCGCAGTTAATAGAATTCTAATCATTTCGGTCGTAAGTCGAATCTGTCCCTAATATATGTAAGAAAAAAAAATAAAAAGTATCTTACATAAATTTATTTGACATGGAATAACTTGTCTAACGGACCTAATTATGCTTTACAATTATGTGTGTGATCTACAACATATGCTTTCTCGTTATCGCTCGTATATTTTTAAGTCATACATATCTGGACGTTGCATTCTCTCACGTTAATATCATTTTATAAATAAGTAATAGAAAACGTGAATTTAGTGAATTGTTTAGACATTTCCGAGGGTTTTCTTTTTCCCGTGTAACGAATAGATCGAAAGCTTTATTGAAAGAGAAGAAATTCGGTCATTTATCAATGTCTGGGACGCAGTCGCACGCATTTTGATAAGAATTCCCTTCCATAAGTCTCCGCCACGCCTTCTTCTTAAACGGCCTCGAATTATTGGTCAACTTGACGAGGAGGCGTTAAAGAAGCACAAAGTCGAGTGTAAATGCCGCATCAATACGTGGCACGCGCAAGATTTCCGAGCAATAAATTTACCAGTGTATATCGTGTAAATAAAATAAAATTAATAAACAGATATTGCACGGGAAATTTATAATCATGGAATTATATTGGTAATAGTTACTCAGAGACGATTCATTAATTTTTATTATATCTTTTATATTTAGTGTTACATAATTTGTACTTTATTATGCTGGCGAAATATGAAGAATACATCAGTGGAATAAAATACATGTATATATTATTACTCTTTTATTTGCATTAGCAGTTGCATTTGTATTTGGCACTTGAATGACTACGGAAATGATTAGGATTTCATTGAAAATGGCTTGACAAGCTTTACGTTAATATAACAGATCATTTAAAGTTTCAAATATTTTTTAGTGTACATCCTTCAATTTTTTACAATTTTCTCATTCGACGCACATATACGCAATACCTGAACTAATAATTAATAATTTCTAATCTTTTTGTAGCTAATTACAAACAATCATGCACGGTATTATGACCAATTATAAACAAGACTGCGGAAAGCATCCATACTCGACTGAGCAAAAGGACGGCTTAGACTTAACCGTGTTTGCTATGGACCTACGCAAGAAGAACGACGTGAATCGTGTGTCGTCTGACATACACGAAATAATGAACCAAACTATTGACTTATCGCAGACTAGAAATGAAAAACTGCGATGTGACCAAATAAATGTCAAGGAGAGGGATGAACAGGGTGAGAGAGATGAAGGAGATGGACTGTCCGTCGAGGGTGGTAGTAGTAGCATGTTGTCGCCATATTCCGAGTCAAATTCGCCGAAGATTGAATCTGTGGACTACTACGAAAATAGTAGCCAATTGAAACATAACGCGACATTAACAAATATGTGCGATACCCCGGGCGTAACGATGACGACACTTCAGCAGCTATCGCAACCTGTACTTCCGAACGAAGCCGCGAAAATTCCAATAGCGATGCCAATGCATGTACCACTTCTGATCCAACACAATGAAGCCGAAAGAATAATTTCGTTGCCAGCACACACACCAACACACACAGAGTGCTCGACGTCTACGGATGTGGCATTGATAACATCATCGCAGGGGAAGAAAGCGCCGAGACCTTTCAAGGCCTATCAGAAGAACTTAACACACATCGCGCGCCTTCCCTACGATCATAACTCGGATGAAAGGTACGCGATGTTCCGTAAGAAGATGCTCGAGAGCATGCAAACGAATCCGTCGAATTCTAAAGCGCGCAAAGTGTCCAAGAGTCCTGGATTGCCTACTAGTACCGTCGATGAGAAAGACGCTGCATATTGGGAAAGGCGAAGGAAAAATAATGAAGCAGCGAAGCGTTCCAGGGAAGCTCGGAGAGCCAAGGAGGACGACCTCGCAATCCGAGCGGCTTTCCTCGAACACGAGAACCAGCAGCTGAGGCGCGAGCTGGAGAATCTCCAGCTTATGTATAAACATTTGTATAATAGTTTGTCGATAATTTAATTTTAATTTAGCTCTGACATTATTACTACGGCATGTAATAATGATATATAACAATGATATCATAATTTATCACGATACGGTTTTTGATTGCAAGGAATATATTTAAATGCTTAGTATAAATATCATGTATATATATATTTTGTATATTTATCTAACATTTAGCATATAATATAACTATAAACTATATAAAATATAATTTGTACATACATATATATGTTTTTTTATATATATAGTATGTATGTACGGATACTATATTTTATATGTACTGCATATGTGGTATAATGTTATGCATATGAGTATGTATATTGCTATTATCCAACATAATTCTTTGCCGTATCGTGAAAATATTCAAAAAAGAAATTTTTGACAGATTATTCATTTCTTGCGTAAATATATCTTTCAATATTTTTCTTTAAAAACTAATTTAAAGTATTTATAAATTATTACATGTAAACTCTATACAACCATGTGATGTCCTGATATAAAAAAATATAAGTTGTGTCATATAAGAAATTAAAACTGAAAATGTGTATGGAGTTATGCGATAATTTATACATGCTTTATTTATATAATCGACCCTATTGAGCAATATTAATGCGCAATATTAATAAGCAATATAAATATAATTTTGTCCTACTTTTGCAATATAATTTAAACATTAAAATTTTTTCACAATATATAAAATTACCAGAACAATTTATTTGTGCAAACAAAAGTATTTGAAATGTGCTAAATACTGTGTATCCACTTAAAATAAGTTTTAACCAAAGTTTAGTACTTTAATAAGAGTTAAGAAATTTGTAAACATTATTATACACGTATTATACATATTACATAAAAAAAAAACAAAAAAATTTTCGTCTTATATGTATAATTACTGTTTTGTAACACTAAAATATTAAAAATATATATTTGTATTACATATAATTTGTATAAGTTTCTTTGTACAAAAATCCTTTTCTATATATATGTACGGATACTATATTTTATATGTACAAATATAATTTGTTCTATCCTACAATTTGTTGTATCCTACAAATATAATTTTAAATATGTTATAAAGCAGTATTTCCCTAATTTACCCATAAAATAAAAATTCTTAGGATAGTTACATACAAATTTTTCGGAACATTTCGTCAATAAAATTAAAAATTAGATCTCGTATAGCGTCAATTAGGCAATGTATCTGCAAGTTCCATCATAGTGTCTGATTCGAGAACATTCTTTTCCCTACTTTGATTATTTGTAAGTACATTCGAAAAGGATTTTTGTACTTGCCTAGGAATAAAAGCTAATGGTGTTGTTTTAGTTTTGACAGTAGATGACGAAATTGTTTCTACGCTATCATTATTTTTACAGACTGCACCGGTGGTATTTTTCGTGAACATTCTGCTTTTCTGATTTTTATTCAGGATTACCTTAGTAGATTTTTTCTTTCCTTTATTACCAACAATATCAAGATCCATTTTATTTGATTCATCTTCCTTGCTGCAACACGGTGTATCGTCAAATCGATATTTCTTTGGAAATTTATGTACTCTAATACAATGTTCCTTCCTTTCCATAGGGTTGTTGAATTTTACGTCACATTCGGAGTCATAACATTGATACTGAAAGAATATTATATTAAATACAGTTATAATACACTGATTCATGCAAAAGGACAGATCTTATAAGTACCATGGCTTGCTTCTCCGACAAGACTTTGAAGAAGGCATCGTGCGTCTCCTGAATATGAATCTCCAACAGCCGTGGATTCGGCCTGGATACCTTGCACTCTGTACAAGCGTATCGATGCGAGCTATTGTAATGCATTTCGTAATCGAGCAGCGTTTGAAAAGTGTTCCTGCATCCTGGGACGTAACACGGGAATTCCTTGATCCTGGAAACGAGATATCACCTTTATTTCTCACTGCTCTAAATCAAGTGGATATACGCACACGACCACTCCTCTTCTGTTGCAATAGAAATCAAACAATTTTCAGGTTAATTTTTAGTCGAGAGAAAAAAAACTAAAAGCTTCTTAATGTCTCCTCGAAGTCTCCAATACTTTGTAGGCTTTGTAGAATTCTTTAGAAGAGAATTCGTCGTGCAAGCGTGGAAGATGTGGTGTTTACGGGACGAAAATAAGCTTTTAGGTTATGTCGACATTACCTTTTTTAAAGAGAAGTCCGTACTTACGCTTCGTGGCAGAGCTCCTCGTCGTCGTCGATCGTGACGCCCTTTCTCTGGAAGACCTTGCAGACCTTGTAGGTATCCTCGAAGAAGGGATCGTTCACAGGACGAATTCCGATCCCCAGCTGCTGGAGAACCTCTTCCATAGCGCGTATAAATTAGACACCGTACCTACAGACGATAAATGCAGCGCGTGTTTTCCTTGAGGACCCGATGCAATTATATCTATTAATTATTATATTACGTTCACGATATCGAATCGATGTTTATTATTGTTTATATATCGTATATGCCGCCTATAACGATGCACACCGAATGGCGCCACTGGCGCCGCGTAGCGAAGTGCAGCGTGCAGCTGCATTCACGACGTTCGCGGGCCGGGGCGCGATCCCTCGATTTTGATTGGCTACCCGTTCGGTGGCACCACTTCGATAATCGAAATTTGAACGCGGAGCAATCGTCGTAAAAATGACGAGAGTGACGAGACCCCGGTGTTACGTTCCGCGACGTCCGCGACGTTTCGCGAGGGAATTTCGCGGGAAGGTGTTCGCATCTGCGAGTGAGAATCGGTAACGCGTTTCGGGCGGCGACAACGAACTCCATCAGCCGGTTGTGGCTCGCCGCTCGCGCGGACATGGTGGCAAAGACTGTGGAATTGTGGTTGTGACAAAGACTGCTCCGAATTGTGCATGACCCTTCGGACCCCAAGGGGGTGATCCATCATGGCCGTGCTTCGATCGCGATCGAAGATGTACACTTATGTACCTCGCGTCCGCGCGTCCGCGTATCGTCTAAAGTATTTTCGTGCGTAGTGCGTGTGTATGTGTGTGTTTGGACGCTTGGATGATCATTCGAGGTGCGATCCTGAGGTGTCTTCTGGATATTCGGAGGGACTGGAGCGGGGCCGGAGTCTCGACGTGCAGATTGGCTGGCAAGGTAGGTGAAACGAATTATTCAATGTATGATATAATGTAACTTTATTAGCATGGATACAGCGATAGGCGTAAATTGCGAGCGACACTGGACGTAGATACAGTAGGGAGTAATGAAGGCTATTTGAGTCAGTTAAAAAAAAATTGATAAAAATTTAGAAGGGAGAAAGGGGGGTATTTTTCAATTTTCAGGGGGAGGTTTTTCGACTTTTTGCTTTATTTTCTGACTCAAGTAGCTCCTCTTGCGTGAGACCAACGCAATTTCGAAAATTTTAATTCCCGATGTCATTTGTACGAAGAAAAAAACTTAATAAAAAAATCTCATTCGCGAATGAGCTTAAGGTTCATTATTGCGCGTAATAGACACTCGAATATGAACATTATCGATCCTTCGATAGAGATTGACGAATAAGCGCTGCGCTGGCATCATTATAATTTTATTTCGTTACGAAACCCCACAGGACGTGATGATAAACACGTCGATACGTAAATACGTAGATCGTGAATAATATATGCATATTCGCGACTCCCGAAATTAATTCCTTATTGATTATTCAACCAATAATCGCGTCTTCAGGTTTTCCAATATTTCGGCCATCCTGTTCTCTAGGTCGTTCCTTTTTTGTATCTCTTCTCTTTTCTCCTGTAACACACGTACAGAGAAAGAATATTTTGACGTATAAACAAGAGTTGAGCGACGTAAAATATTTTTTAATTTTACAAAAAACCTTTTTAGGGGAATTATGAATTATTTTTTAATAAATATTTTATTTAGACACACACGTACCATACTTTTATCTTGATTAAAAAAAATTGATTAAATAATTAGACTGCAGATTCGGATTTCTATCATGAGAAATATTTTGAAGAGCTAAAATAAAATTCAATTATTTTTGGTTGTATTGAAATATCTAAAATTTATCCTATGATATAAATAATTTGAGATAATTATAGAATATTTGAAATATCTCGAGTTTAAAAAATCTTTTTTTATTTATATGATTTAAAATGTAGAATGTTCGAAGTATCGAATCAAAAAATCTTTTTATTATTATTTTTTTAATAAAAAAGACTCGCTTGCGTGTATTTGTGTGTAATTTTATTCCACTAATAGTCTGCACAGACTATTAATATTATATTATGACAAGCTTACTTATAATATCTCAATTTTAATAAATTATACATTTCTTCCTTTTCTGTATTATACATATTTTACGTGATTCTTATGAAAGAGAATGACAGAATAGAAGAGAACTGTGTTAAAATTAAAGTCAGCTACAACTCGAGAACTTCGTGCCAGCAACAGATGCTATATGAAACATGTGACAAATTTTCCGTGCCGTGAAACAGGTTTTATTAGTTGCGCGAATTAACAAATTAACAACGTTTCGTCGCACACCAATAATTTACTCGAATTATTTCTATTATACATTAACTAACATATTACAATCAGAGCTTGCGTATAAAGTCCACGTAGTGGATCGGCCCGTTTGGCATTAATTGCCTCCGTTCCGACACCCTCAAGGTCGTCACTTTGTTCCGGTATTCCGTGACTTTGGCTTTCTCCGGATTATTTTCCGGATCATCGGCGTCTTTCGCGATACTTTCATCATCGTGATGATAAGCGATCGGCGGTTCCGGTGCAACGAGCACGTCCGACTCCTCCGCAATTTTGCCATTTTCCTCGACAACTTTCGTCGCATCGCTGCTTTCGCTTCCGAAGTTGTAATCGTCCTTGCTGAAGCCGAAGAAATCGTGCGCGCTCTGGGGATCTTCGAACGGTTTATTGCTCTTCGGGAATTCTTTAGGCTCATTTTTCAGGAATTCTTCAGGCTCGTTCTTCGGTTGCGGAGTCGTTGCCTTCTCATCTTCCTTGCGACGTACGTTCTGCGGTCGTACACTCTTTCGTTTCCTCAGCAGCCGTGAATGACGCGGCCTTTCCGACGGTCCGCTCTGCGCGTTTTGATTTGCAGACGCAATACTCTGCGAATGTACGTAGACCGGTCGAGGAGCTTCCTCGGCCGTATTACTCGGCACCTGCGGCCGATATATTCTGTTCGACCAGTTTTCCACGTTAGGAATTTGACTTCTTATCTCGATATTAAACGGTTCTTTGACTTGAGGAGCGCGTTCTCCGGTTTCTCCCAAAATGTATCTGTAACGATCGAGAACGCTCGCTGGAACTTCCTGAGGCTGATAGTAATAGTCGCGAGGGCTATTCGTGGTCTCGTTCAGATTATATTCAGTGATATTGGGCTTCGTTTGGATAATCTGTTGACTGGCGCTTTGCTGAGCAACGTAGATTTGATTTCGCGGATGCGTAACCTCGGCGTTCGGTTGAGGAATTTGATTTCGCGGATGCGCAACTTCGGCGTTCGATTGAAGAATTTGATTTCGCGAGTTTACAGCTTCGTTGGAGAAATAATAAATATTGTAGGGATATCGATACGGATATGCCGGATTACCAACGACTACGATGTAACCGGAAGGTTGCTCCGACGACTTGTCGTTCGCGTCTTGCGTCGCGACCTGGTTCACGACATGTTGGTAATAATTCGGGGCGTAGTTCTGTGGATAATAGTTCCGCGGATTTGGCGGGATGATAGCGTTCGCGGGTTCCGTGTTGTCGAAGGCGTAGTCGAAAGGCGGCGGCCACACGTGCAGCTCCTTGTGCTCGCCCTCGTGCAACTGCCGTGGTCTCTCAGGCAAACCGATCTGCGGAGTCAGGTCCTCTTTGAGAACCGTTCGCGTGGGACCCACGTTATCTTCGCTAAACCGGCTGTCCGTCGATTTATCCGCCTCTTTGTAGTTCAGCTGTCGCGTGGTTGCTTGCTGTACCTTCTCGTTCGCGTCGATGTAGCGCACGGGCACGACTAGAGGCACGTATCTCGCGAAATCGACCTCTTCCTGCGACTTCGCATTTTCTAATCTCGCGACATCGCGATTCGGTCCGGTCGGTCGTCTCGCGCGATTATCTTCCTTATCACGGAGCCGTCCCGTTTTAGGTCCTCTCGATCTTGCCGACGTACGATTTTGGATTCTCTCGCTCTCTCTGTCGTTTCTGTCCGCCTCACCCTCGTCATTCAAGTCGTATTCTTCGTATTTATTCTCCGGCAGGGCGTATTCCTCCCTGAGCTTTTGCAGCCTGGTCAAGTGCTCGTCATAACCATCCTCGGCAGATGTTTCTCTCTCATTTTCTTCCCTCGACGCGTCCTCGGGGTGAGCTCTTCGCGAATCGTACGCGTCAGCTTGAACGTACGGATGCTTGAACATACTTATGTAACCGGCGATTCTGTCGTCTTCCAGCTTCTTGTTGTCCAACACCTCACCGTAGCTGTCGCGGATCACTTCGGGATTATTTTCGTGGAAGTAGTCGCCGATAGGCAACTGCTGATTGTACCTCACTTCCGGGTATTTGTCGGTATCTTCAGGTTGCTTGTATGCGTGTCTGCTGGAATGATCGTCGTAATTCGGATAGTCCTCGCTCTGTTCTTTCTCTTTCTGCTCTTTTGACGATTGCTTCGAGGACTCGTTTGAGAGATTCTCCCGACTGGTATACTCCGCGGAGCTTTCATCCTCCTCTTCGTCACGCGCTGGTTTTCTCTCTTCCGTTGACACGTGCTTAGGAGCGTACTCTCGATTTCGACCAGCGATTGCCTGCTCGCGGTTCCTGTATCTCTCGTTCATTTCTTTCTCATCGTAGTGAGCAGCTTTATCGCGATTTCTTTTTTCCTCCTGCTGCTCCAGCTTTTTGACGCGCTGCTCTTCTTGTTTGCGTTGCAGCTCGTTGCGCCTGTCGTTCTGCTGCTTGTTCCGCCGCGGCTCATCGACGAATAGTTGATGACTATGTTTGTCCACCGGTTTCTTCACGTCCTTCTCATCGTAAATATCCTTTTCCTCCACCGTGTATCGTTCTGTGTCCTCATTATTCCTGTATACCGTCTCTTGCTCTTTTCGAACCGGTGTTTCTGTATTCTCGTTTGTGCCGCTCGTGATGGAGACCGTCGGTGAGGGATATGATAACCCGAGATCCTCGTGAGGCGTTCCGACTGGCAGAAGTTCGGGCGCGATCGGCAACGGGATCTTGACGAAGAACGGCGCTAGCAGAGGCGGCCTCGTCTGCGTGTTTGTCCTCGGGTCCAACGGAATCTTTGTAGGAGCCGTCGGGGGTCGCGGCGTCGTCATCATAGTCGGCGCTGTACTATTTCCACGACCGTGAAAGATCTGCTCGTATCGCTGAAGATGTCCTATGATGTTCGAATTATTGCCGAAATTCAGCACGCCGGTGAACCTGATGGTTTCTTGCTGCTTCGGCATTGTGGTGTTTTTCGCGGGCCGAGAAGATGCAGTTTGCTGTTTTACATTGACATTCGTCTTGGACGAATTGGACGTTGCGGCGGGACTCGTCACGTTCGGGTTTGGCAGTGAGGCGAATTGAATTGGAGTCACCGTGTATCCAAAAATCTGAGCCAGTCCTGATAGCAGAAGACCGAGAGCCCTCTTGTCGCGAGGATTCTCCGTGGATTGTTCGTCGATTCCATCGGTTCCCTGTACAGAGATTCTCGATAGATCTTCGTATGTCAAGGGTTCCGCTGTTAATTCGACGATTTCCTCCGGTGGCATCTCGGACGCGCGCGCGATGCACAGTAGACATAAGATAAATATTCTTGCATATTCCATTGTGGAAGACACCTAGTTGACGTTCGAAAACAATCGCATATCGCACATTAGATCAAGCTGTGTGTTAAGTCACTTTCAACGATGAAAACGGAGGCACTTTACTTATTAAATGAGCTTCTTTTAAATCCAGTCTTTATTTGAAAAATTCACATACGCTATTTATATTTTATAGTGTTTTACGTTACGAGTCACTGTCATATTGTTTTTACTTGGAAATGAGCGATAATTAGTTACATAGACAAATGACTTAAAGTTCGATCGTGAAAAAGATTATTGCGCGATAGCGCAGCCGGAGAGATCGCACTAAACCTTCGTGTCCCAGAACTCCACGAGGACTGCCGGCCGATTGCGGCTGCGTAGCTGTCATTAAACAATGATTTGACGGGCGGGGATAAATTTTTGCATAATATCGGAAAGAAATGCCGAGTTTCTCTTGAATTGCACGGGCCCACTCGTTGATTTGCGACAACTGAAGCGGTACAACGCAATGAGCGCGCGGGAACGAGCGAGGTACGGGATCGCGCGCGAATAAGTTGGTGTTGCCGCCGCGAAAAGAAATAAACGCAAAAAAAAGTAGACGCGCTCATGCGATTCCAGATAAATTTTCTCGTGGTTTAATTGCACGCTGAAAAGTGATACGACTGTTGCAACGTTCCACAATTTTCAAAAGAACAGTACGGCTAAGCTGGACTCGTAACTTTCCATCGGTAATTATGTTTGGTTTGAAAAAAGAAATGGAAGGGGAGCGAATTACTTAAGAATGTAATTATTATTCTGGGAATAGCCGTACCGAGATGCAACGAATTATTATTCTTAGTTTCTTATTAAGGTGCCAATTGTTTACTATTTTGGTAGTATTTTTAATTCTACAGATGAATATTACATTCGGTTCATAAAAATAAAGAGTATTTTTTTTTTTATAATGCCCCAGAAGAAAGTTTGAACTGACTAAACCAACTATTAAAATTATGACAGACTTGTCGTGCGTGCTTTCATCTGTGCATTTTTTTATTAGCTTCCTAAGTGAAAGGAGATTCACCGGTGCGTGGTACAAGCGTAAAATTAATTTGTATTTGCTACCGGCATCTTGGATTCTTAACTTACGATAGCTTGTATAATAAATGCAAAAATATCCCTATTTGTTCCGTCGGGAATCGCCAATGTGAAGAAAAATAATTGTTCTCGTAACAAACTTTCTTACATCCAGGTCGACGACCTTATAATATTAGAATCTAAAACAAAAAGCGAATATTATTAAGAGCAACACCACCGTTATTCGAATTTAATCGAAGAGAACCGATATTGATTTCGATGAATTAAAAATTTACTTGCCAACGCATATATATATAATTTATGTGAGCTTTCTGTTTTAAAAGTACTACATTTTGAAAGTAGTGAGCTCTCTGCATTTTAAACTTGTGTAATAATAATAATAAAGTGTAAAACGGTGAACACAGACTGCTTTTGCATAACGCATAAGAAGATTGATTGGTCTATTTCTTTATGCATGCATAATCAATTTTCTTATGCTTACGCATTATGCGTTATACAAAAGTCTGTGCTCTCCGCTTAAACACAACACATAATCTATTTTCGAAAAAGGGTATAAAATTCGTGTAAGTTTTTATTGTATTAGTCTCAACTGTTTTATATAATATTATAGAAATGAATTTATTTCAATGAATATATATCAATGAACGCGATGTATTTTATCTAAACAAACATTTTTGAAATTTGATCTTTATAATAAAGAATTTATTTAAATGTGAATATCTGTAGCAGAACATTACATAAAATATGCGTGTTCACTCACGCGAGCATTTCCACAAAAATAATGACGTTACATGCGACTACAGTCGACTGTGACAGTAAAAAGACGGGAATTTACGACGGTATTGCGAAAGGTTGATGACAGTAAATATCAATTCGAGGTATCGTTTGTCGCGTCCAGTCAACGTCGACATGACCGACCACCGACTCACGAGGATGACAACACGTTGCGTTTGTCGGACGTTTCCTATCTTAGGCTTTCGCAAGTAGGCAGGAGTATACAACCTGTTTTCTTGACCAGAGAAAGTCGCCGTTTCCTAACGTGGTGACGACAAAACCGCGTTAGGACGACGATCCGCGAGGGAGGGATAGAAATAAAAAAACTCGCGCCGCGCGTTTAAGGAAGGGCTCGCGCGATTGCATAACGTTCTTAGCGCGCTCGATATTACGTGACTTCGGATGGACTCGGAATACTTCATGAACGATGCAATGCGAACGGGGCAGTGCTACTTTAATTGAACAACAATGCGAGCGACGCGGCTAATTTATCTCGTGTTTAATGACATTTAATTCTTAAATATTCAAGCGTGAAATTGAGAATGCACTTATTTTTGTAAATGTTACCTATTACGTTATAAATTAATATGGCAATGTGACGAAAACTCAGCTGTTGCTGAATGAAATCGATTAGTACGGTCACGAACAATCGCGAAGGCGAATATTGCATATGAAGCAAAAATTTCACGGCATTATATCGTAATCTTACTCTACGTGGCGGCACGCTTTCATTCAATTCATTATGATATCGGTTGCATATTGATTTTTAATAATAAATTGAAAAAATTGCATATTTAATTTTTCTAAAATCTTTCGTGATAGATTTTATATAAAAAGTAAATTAAAAAATGTGGAACTTTTACTATAATGAACATGTTAGTTTTTTCACTTTGCATTATTAATTACTTAAGAAGGGAAATTGTTCTTTACTTAAAGAGTAATATTGTAAAAGATTTCGAAGCAAAATTCTCTTAAATTTTCGTTGAAATCTCATCTTACCATAATTTTCTGCAGTATTCTTTCTTTTTTCACAGAGATCGTCTCGCGAAAGTGAACGATCACAATATAACGGTGACAGGTCGTCAATATTTTTTGCTCGGTTCTTTGTTGTTGTGTGAAAGTATAACATTTTTATTCCTTACTTCAATAATTAAGAGGACATTCTCTTCCTTTCAACATCGTATTTAGAATAGTATAATTCGTGCAGTTTTATCTCATAATTTTATTTGCATTATATTTGGATATTTTTTGTAATATATTCTCTATATCGTAAGAAACAAGCGGCAAAATAATACTCTAATTTCTCCTTTATCCTACATACATCGTATATTTGAAAAGATAAATCGTGATACTGTTTCGTGCAATCGTTACGTCGTTTAACGATTCTTTAGATGGGAGTGGTCTTGCCGAGTTGTTAGTCGGGATGCTAGTTGTACGTGCGCGCATACCGGTGGATCTAGAATTCACCATAAATTTAGCAAACGACTTGTGTGAGAAATCTAGTACCTATAAAAGAAGTGTCAACCCCTTAGACGCTATCAGTTAGTGCGCAACATTCTTAACATGAAGCTGCTGGTAAGCCATTTAATTCGTGTACAATACGGTTGAAAGTTAGTGAATTTTTGTTAATTCGATTGTGCGCGAGATAACATCTTCAATTAATCATATTATCAATCCCGTCGTCGGTCTTTTTTTTATATACTCGGAAGATCATTTTTTAAAATAAAACATGACTAAAATGTACATATTTCCGAGACTACATGTACTTAGATATATAAATATAAATTTACGAAGAGCGCAATTGCATTGTGTTATCAAAAGATAGTGCGTTATAATTAATTTCGAAAATCTGCTTATTAACAAGTTTTAACGAAATTTCGATCACGTTGAAAATACTATATATCTTTGCTTGAATTGTTCATGTCGTGTCATTATATTTATTGTATCACTGATTGCGATACGTTTTAATTAACGAAACGATCGTCCAGTTTAGAATATCTCGCGCAGTCGTTCGCTAATTATGGTGATTCACATTCGCATTGTCGACGATTATCGATAATTGTTTTTAGCTTTTGTTGTCGTTGATCATTCTGGTCTCCGGAGACGAGAGTCTCTTCGCCGAAAGTACAGCCGACGGCAATGACGTATCGCCGCAAGTGACCACTGTTCTTCAAGCTCAACCGAGCGCTCAGGAAGTCATAGGGGAAAAGAAACTGGGGAAGAGAAGCTACAGTTTGCTTTCCGTGCCTTACATACGCACTTACAGTCCCGTGTTGCCGTGGTAAATAGCACAGATAAATATCTTGTCAACGGCGCGAATGTAAAAATCTCGAGACAGCAATTTGGCGCTGACAGTTGATTTATACGTTCGATTTCTCAGGTATCGATTGGGCGGATTGAGTAGCTACGGATTGTACAGCTACGGTGGGAATCCGGGCGGCTGGCCGTTGTCGTACGGTGGCTTGCGCGGTGGTTGGTATAAAGGGTGGTAAATTTCGAGATTGAAGTATGCGACTGTCGCTAGGAAAGTACGCATCGATTTCTTGGCACTTTTTTTTTTTAACATTCGATAACTTATAAATGTCACGGTTATCGCATGATTCGTATAATATTTTGTTGAGTTATTTGTGAATACGTCGGAGAAAGCAACGTGACAGGACACGCGTATCTACATTTATTTTAAATTTATATTTTATAATAATTGTTAGTAGGTGGTTATGAAAATTTTATATATTCGTGGTGCCAATTAGTTATAATCTTGTGTTAATTATAAGACACTCGATCACTCACACATAAAAGATGGAAACATTGAAACTAAATAAAGAATTCACGTAGAGGGAAGGCCAAGTTAATTTGCGCATACCTTTAGTCGTTTTTCTATATAAGTCGCCAGTATTTCTTCGCATATGGTGAGATTCTTGTCTGTGTCCTGTAATAAATCAAAAACAAAGTCTTTCTTAAAATCGTCAAAGGGTCATTTGTTTCACAAGCAACAAAAAAAAGTAAAATTTGGAGTCATTTGTTGTGCTATATAGACCTTTAATATGTTCGTCAATTCTTTAATCTTTTGTAATTTGACTTGCTCTTGATTGATGGTCCGTGGAACGTTGCACATTCGGTGAGATTCGTACATTTCAAGATGCGAGACAGGCAGTCTGACGGTGCTAATGGTTTTAGAAGTGCATGTCACTCGTTTGCTGCAGTACGACGGACGTGTCCTCGTGCGCAAGCTACGCAGAGGGTTGCTTAGAAACGAGACAGCAACAAATATCTTATCGGTTTTCAATTAACATATTGAACGTTTAGCGTTTTAATTTCTCATTCTACTCTGACGAATAATAATTTTATTACGTGCGTCCGACAATTGTAATTTTTAAATTTATTTTTTGACTTATAATTAGATTAAATATCATCAACTGATTTAAGAGTTTCCATCTACACAGTTATTATCTATATCTACAGGGAGTATTGACATTCCCTTGACTCTACCCGGTGGATAAGTTATCTCTCTTTTGTATTTTATTTTATCCGAATATATGTTATATTTTTATGATTTTTAATAAGATAATAGAGGAGGAATATACGTTCGAAATATGAATAAATAAAAAATTTGTATGAATAAAATATTTTATTTATAAAGTTTGCCTAATACCGCAATGATAGATTCCTGCGTTATCCATCTTACTACTTGTCTTCCTGTTCTTTGTTAGAGGGCAGCCAGAACTTACATAAAATCGATTCTGCCACTTTCCCGCAGGGATGACTGATCCGCGCAGTCATTTGTGCTTAGCGAACCCACGGACCCGAGCCTCGATATATTGCGAATACTTACATACGTTTACACTTATATGTATATACACTTTTGAGTAATAATGCTATATAGATATTCGAGAAAGAAATAGAAGCAAGATAAAATCTAAGCTAAGAAAAATAAAAAGAATAAGAATAATAAAAATAAGAACAAGATTCATATACATATTTAATATAATTAGCAAAATAACAAGAGTTAAGAAAGATAGTTTTATTTGTGTTCCTTAATTTAAAAAATGATTCTGCCACCGGTGCAATGACATAATATAAATGTCGCAAAAATAATATTCAATTACAGATATTTAAACTGATAATTAACTTAATTTAATTGCTCATAATAAAAATGTGAGTTAGGATGCATTACACAAAAACAATCAAGATCTTTTTTATTAACTTTAAAGCAAGCAGTTATATCTAGCGAATCTTTGTCAGAATGGAAATCAATATCTGTTCAGAACAAGTTAGTTATAATACTTTTATTTAAAATGTCAGTTTGCACTTTTAAAATATTATAAAGTAAAGGGGATCGTAGTCAAACTTCACCGCGCGAAAGTCAAAGATCAACTGGATGCATATTTTGCGGTTGCGCGTTTATTAGCTCCATTGTGGACAGTGACAGAAAGAGGGAAGAGCTGCAGCATCTCCCTCGTCCGGATGGACCAGTTTTTTATCCTCCGCAACTGACCGTAAAAAATCCGAAAATGAGAGTCAAAGGCTAACTGGGTGCGTTTTATGGCACGGTGTTTGTATACGTTCGAGTGGACAGTGGTCATTGTTCCGGGGGCAGCATCCCTCGTCGGATGATGGACCAGTTTTCTGAACGGGCACGAGCCCGCGATGATGAGCCAGAATAACCCGAAACAGGACCTCTCGTTACGCGAACGAACAGGTTTCGTCGAACGGGGCGGCCACGAAGCGCAGCCTGTCGGGGAAAGACAGCTCGTGATCTGTATCAAGTGGAAACTGGTCCATATAGTTCGGGTCCCCAGTTCAGCAGCTCGGTGTCGTCCACGTGCGATCTGGCCGAGATCAGAGATCAGACTCTCAAGAAAAGCCACGAGCTTCAAATACGAGAATGGGAACAGGTTCCACTGAATAAACGGGATCACGATCTTCAACCGCGCATCGGAAATGTAGAGCAGGTGGAATGTTTAGATCTGCGAACGTGGTACGGGAAAATTTCTTGTTTACCTTAATGTAATAGACTTTTTAGAAAGTAATCGATTTGACCGTGCGGAAACTTGCGTTTATTGATTTAAATGGCATATAAAAATATAAAGTGCAAAAAACGTACAATTACTTATTGAATACATTATTTACTTTGAGAGAGAAAGAGGAGTAAATTAAATTAGAAAATTTAATTAAAATATGTTTTTTTGCAAAGCGTTATATTGTGCCATGACCGTATATTATTTAAATTACTTAAACGCTCTATTTTAACGTATAAACGTTTAAATATATTTAACTATATTGAATAAAAGTAAAATCGCGTGTTTACAACATTGGAATAGTATAATGATAATAATATATAAAACGCTTTTATTTATTTTAATAAATAATTAAATAGTAATTTATAAACTTGTAATTTTGAAACGTAATTACTGACAGAACCGCTAATTTTTACGGCCTGCGTATTAATAGCAGCCGCCATCGCGGAATCTTGTATTATATTTTTTTAAGAGAGAGCACTGCGTCAAATGAAGAATACGATAAAAGGGATTGTACTTTGTCTGGGGACAAAGAACACGCAGCACTCAATCAAAAGGACGCGAAAACAAAGGCCGATGACGTGTGTGTCACATGAGACGTCGAAACCAGCCCACATTGGCCACTTCTTTCATCTGTCCATCACTCCCTGTCCTCTAAAGAGGACGCTTCTGAAAGAGGACATTTGCGTTTCCGCGCTCGTACCAGCCATTGTACGCCTTTATCGGCCGTTTCATGGCTCTTCTCCGTTGGCAGTTCGCTTCACTGGCGACCGTGCGTTCGGTCGCAGGGAATGCATATCTGACGTGGGAGACGAAATAATTGCATGGCACCGCTGTACCTTCGGTTGTAATCGGTCTTCGCGCTATCAACCCGCAGCAATTGATATTTTAATTTTTGTGGAAATATTAAAAGATGGGCATTAAAAATTACACTGGAGACAAAAATAGAGAGAGTACATACTTTATCACTTACTATATTGATTTAAAAACTTTAATTTTAATAACATTGCACATTTTTTCTTAGATATGAATGTTAAATTTATGCTGCTAATTCGTATTAAATAAGAGCTGGCTTTTTGTGAAGGATATTATATTTGTTGGTGAACGAATTTGAAGAATGCGTAAGTTTGACATGGCGACATGGTTTAATGAGGGATGTTGGAGGAGAGGCTGGTAAATATGAGCGGTAGAAAGAATAGCGAAAGAAACTTTCTCTGTCGAGTTAATTTCAGCTTCGGCTACGAGAACCTGTTTCCCGCGGGGGGCCATGAAAGGGTCTCGCTACCTACACAGCACATTACCTCCGTTCGTATCGGTAACGAGGTCGACTTTACTCCGTAGCACTCTTCCTCCGGGACAGGGGGGGAGGGTGAGGGGGTCATAGATGCGCGCGTGGTATTACCGGGACACCCCGTATATAGGGAGGGCGTATTTGTTTTACTGCCTGGCTGCCGGCATTGGTTGAGAACGTGCTCCGCATTCTTGAAATCGTGCCACCCTTGTTACGGCATAGACTCTCCACCGTCGTTCCCTTCGCTCCTTCACCTCGCCATCAAACCCGGCTCTTTTCCTCGTCGCCTCAACCATCATAAGAAGGATCGTCGTCGATCCGCCACCCCGCGTCCTCCCCCGCGCGATCGTAAAAAATTCTTAACTCCTGTAGTAGTCTCTACAATATGCATATAAGTACGCTATACAAAACATACTCTACAAGATGTTTCTGAAATCGAGAAACATCCATCTGTGTTCGCCGAAGTTTGCTGAATGCGTTGCAACAAGATACTTGGTTATAATAATAAATATTAAGACTAAGGTACAGATCTTTTATTATTTTCAAAAACTAGCTGTAAACTTTTATACTACTTCCTACGTTATAATAACATAATGACGATAATAGATCTATTTCGAAGAACTTGGAGATCTAAGAGACACATTTTCGCACTTGGCGTTGTAATCGTTAATAAGAAAAAGTCGTTGAGACCGCGTCATTAATCTTACAGTCTTTGCCGCTGTCAGGATCAGCATTAAAACGGGAAGATTGTCTTCATCCTTTTCTTCGATGAGACTATAAAAATTTTTAACTCCTGCAATGGACACGAAGTATGCTTCTGCAAAGACAGTGGGATATTCTTCTTCTGATTCGTGAAGAAAAACTCACTGCACTCGCTACTCTTATAAAATAGTCCTTCTAATCTAATTGCGGTACTAAAATAAATCAGTGGAAAATATATTTATTTATTATAGTTTGTTACTATACTTGATTTAGATACAATTAGCATATAGTTCAATTATCGTCATTATTGCAATATCTTTTTTATTAGGATGATTGTTTAAAAGTAATGTTTACTTTTTTTTTTAAGACAATTCTGCGTACTTTTAAATCCCTTGACAGCCACAAGCAACATTACTTTTCACTATTTTACCTCGTAAAATTGTTATCTCCTTTAATGGTCGATCGGCTCTCCTCGAGTCATCTCGGTCGGCGCGGGCGTCTGATTTCTCGATAACGGCACATTGTCGTGCAGACACACAGTCGTCACACTGCGGACTTTAGACTATCTCGGCAAGACGAGAGAAACGGAGCAAAGGAAGAGTCCGGCGATTTCTGCCGATCCTAATTTACGGCCGGGATTTCAGGCGTTTATGTCTTTCCGATAAGGTCGTTCACGCAGATGCCAAGCCTGCACCGATGGATCTTCTTCATCCTGCGCTCTCCCCACTTCTTCTTACTCCGTTCTCGTCGATTCTCGCGTGTCGATAGGACGCGACGAAATGTCAGAGCGGAGTTCGTCTTACGTCGTTCGTCGTTAACGAGAATGGGTAGGAGCGAGGTGTCGATTCGTCAACGAGGCGCGATCGCGTTGGACTCGAGAAATTGCCAGCCATTCTTTCACGATTTTCTGCCAGAAATGATATTGATCGGCGCTCCACGATCAATAACATTTCTGGCAAAAAATCGTGGAAGAATCGCGTAGATTTAACCGCTTCTTGCATAATCGAGAGGTGCCCAAATAAAAATCTCTTTTATCATTTATTGAGAGCCAATATCGTCCTGTCATATTTATTTATTAAAAAGTAATATCTACGACGTATGACTGTTTGTAGTGCTAATTTTAAGCGGATACAGCTGTGTGTAAGGAGACGCGAAGCGAATTGTTTTGGACTTCTAACCGATCAGATCGAATCC